ATATTTAATTTTTTTAAGTGTATTTATTGTTCAAAATCAAGTTGTTGTTTTTTTGCATACACATCCACATTATTAAGTAAAAGATAACACAGAAATGGTTGGTTATATAAATCAATTTAAAAACAATATATTTATTGTTCAAACTTAAGTTTTGTATTTGGACACTTTTTTGCATGCACATTCATTGAATATTTGTACTTTCTTTCAATAGCCTGTGAGATCACCTTTGACGACACCAAGGTGCCAATTGAGAATGTCATTGGTGAAGTTGGTGGTGGTTTTAAGGTGATACAAACTCCCTTCACTGCACATTTTTAACACTATGATGACATGATGTTGCATTGACACGTGACATGTACGCATCATCTTTAGGTCGCCATGAACATTCTGAATAATGGGCGCTTCAGCATGGGCAGTGCAGGTGCAGGGCTGATCAAGAGGCTGATCGGTGAGAACACGATTCATAAAAAAGTCACCATTATTACTCGCATCCTTGTCGATGTAAATGTAATCTATACATCTCTTCAATTTAAATTAATCCACATGCCACATCATTCCAGAGTTGACATCAGAATATGCATGCACAAGAAAACAATTCAGCAGGAGCCTTTCTGAGTTTGGAATGATTCAGGTACGTTACAATTATGTTTAATCATATTGAATGATTCTGTTGTTACTATTTGCTAAGTCAGCATGTGGTTTTATTTTTCTTTGGCACAGGATAAGTTTGCTACCATGACCCTGAATGCGTTTGTGATGGAGAGCATGGCTTATCTCACTGCTGGAATGATGGACCGACCTGGAGTCCCAGACTGTTCTCTGGAGGCTGCTATGGTCAAGGTAAAGTAACCTGAAATCATCATCACTTGAACTTATTATAAATGAAAAACAACATGTTGGAGCATTGACCCTCAGTGGTGGTTATACAGGTCTTCAGCTCTGAGGGCAGCTGGATCTGTGTGAGTGAAGCCCTGCAGGTTTTAGGAGGGCTGGGCTTCACCAAGAACTACCCCTACGAGCGCTATCTCAGGGATTGCCGCATCCTCCAGATATTTGAGGTACAGAGGAACATGATTACATTTTTTTAGTCAAATCAGCAAAACCGCCATTCAGAAGTTTGGGTCCAGTATTTTGTATTGAAAAAAGTCTCTTATGCTCACCAAGACTAAAAAATAATATTGTGAAATATTTGAGATGGTCCTAACTGCAGAACACAAGATCCAGGGAACATGGTTGGATCCCACCTTACATATACCTAAACCTTCCCTGTCTCCACCCCCTGATCCCTAAACCTACCCATCTCCACCCCTAAA